AAGTCATTGACATGTCAATTCATGGAAAATCTCATATTACTTGTTATTTTACCGAACTCTTTTTCTCCTTTCCCTTTTCCCTTTTCCTTCCTCTGTTTTGAATTATGGTGCAACTGCGTTATGATTTCTTGCTGAAACCGTAGAAATAGAAACTTAGACACCTGTTTCTTTCGAGTAAGCATTCATTGAGATACTGAAAGCAAATATCTGACGTGGGATTCTACGGTGCCGGGCTTAGGAGGTGGCATGCTTATCATCATTAGATACTATGACTGAAAGAAAGAATATTATTGGCTATAATGAAATGTACATTTCATGTATATTCTCTGTCAGTAGTCTTACGACGCACCCACAGAATTAGTTCCTTTTCAAATCAAGAGATGTGATGGAGCATCTGCACAAAGAAAACAAATTGGAAATGGCGTTGCAAAAACCTCTCTCTCTCTCTCTCTCTCTCTCTCTGCTTTTCCCTGCTTTACTTTTGTTGGATATGCAGCTAAAGAATAAAGGGTTATATATCTCATCATACGAGCTGACCAACGCACGTGGCGAGGTCAATAGAACAAGACATGTGTTGATGCTGGGGGTCCACCAATGGGTGGTGTGAAGTAAGATTCTCACACTGTCAATAATACCTATCATTGAACAGAATCTTTAACTTCTTGTCATGTTTCCTTGGCTTGATACCGAGCTCGTATGGGTCACTGCTTACTGGAATGCAGGAACTATAGTTTTTATGAAGTACATATGATGACTAGATATAGTTTGTATGAAGCATATATGATGACTAGATGAGCATTGCCTCAGAGCCCATTAAAGAACGCATATAAAGGCATTTCCTATAAGGTGGCTTTGATAGATAGCTTCCTATTATAACAATTCATGAGCTAATTGAGATTCGAAGTAGTTACAACGATGTTAGTAGTAGAGTTCCACCCAAAAAGATCTTGATTTAACTCGATCTGAATTTAGATTTTAGACTCGTGTTAATGTTTCCTTATCTCAATGGGGAGTAGGCAGAAGTCCGCCTATTCATTGGATTCTTGCGTAAAAGTGGTCAATATAGCACGATGCTTGTACCTAAGGCTATAATTACACGAGATGACTTTCATTCCTTTTTTTTTTTTTTTTGGTTGCCAACAACTATCCTCGTCTTCATAATTGTAAATTCTATAGGTGGGAAAGCCTTGAAATGCAGAGTAAGTCCTGGTTTTTGAAGCAAATGAGGGCGTAAGTTTAAAATCAAAGATCGCATTTTGTTTGCTAAAAATGATGGGAATGGAATTGATTAAGAGAATCAAAATAAAAATAAATTAAATCATTCATCACTCATGATAAAACTTAATACTTTCTTCGTTTTAAATTATAAGGCACTTTTAGATAAAATTTTACGTATCAATAAACTTTATTAAATACATTTAACAATCTTATTTTTTTAAAATAAAAATATAAACTTTTCAAAATACCCATCATTTAATATATTGAAAAGAGAAGTGATGAAAATTAATTATAGAGAGAGAAAGGGTAATTTTGAAATTAGTGCATTTAATAAAATTTTAATCTACTAAAAGTGTTTTAAATTTTAAGATGAAATTTTTTTTTTCAAAAATGTCCTATAATTTGAGAGGAAGGGAGTATTATTTATTACAAATGTAAAAATTATTATACTACTTAAAAATTTTATAAATCATGACTTTTAATCTTATGAACTGGATCATCCTTTTCTTTAATGAATATGATTCATTTATTCCTTTCACATTTTGATGATTTTATTTTTACCTTTATTTTTTTTAATTCATTTCATTTTTTTTTTCTATCAACCAAACAAGACTTGAATCTTTGGATAGATTATGCAAAATTCTCCTTGGCTGCCCAAATATTAACCTCTCTTTTAAATAATTGAAGTTATTGATCAATGGAATTTATACTTTTAGTGTTATTAGTTAATTGCCATCACTGATTTATTAAACGGTAAGCTAGACGTGTAATTTTTTTTTTAAAGAACATTTTATTGTATTTTTCCTTGGATTTAAAACGACAGGAGTATCCAGTCAGACTTATTCTTACTTATCTTTTTTTTTTATTCCATTAGCTTTTTTTTTTTGTGCCAATACTTATTCTATAAGCTAGAAGTGCATTTTTATCTTTTGCTCGCGCTTGCTTTTATGTATCTTATCCTACTGGTAACCATGCATAGAGATACATGTAAACATATATATAGGGAAGTTGCTATAAAAATAGGGGGAACAAAAAAAAAAAAGGTGGGCATTTGAGCTGGAATCAAGCTACCCATTTAAGCATGCATTCTTAGGATTTGAGTTTTAAAAATTGAAGCATTTTCATATAAAAAGGCTTTTAAAACTAGCCCGTTTAAGCCTTTAAAAAAAGGCTCAATCTATTTGTTTAATCTTGTTTTGTTTTTTTTTCCTTTAAAAATGAAATATTTTAATTTTTTAGATTAAATTGAGACTTTAGACTGTGTTTGTACTTTAAAATTAAGATTTACATTACTTTTTTTAATTTTTAAATATTATAATTTCTATTTTAGAGAATGAATATGTAATGTTTTAATGTTAAAAAAAATTAAAAGTCCAAAAAAATAAAAATAAAAATAAATAAAAAAAGAATTTTGGACCCGATCTTGAAGCTAATCAATAAAGGCCAGGTACAAAGAATTGATGAATTTTTAGGTAATTGGATTTCGGGCCGAAGTTTATATCAGTCAGTCCATCCATTTACCAGCTCTTGCCTTTCGTGGAGGTGGACGCGTGCGCCTCTGTCTGTTAATCGAAATGAAAATATCTGCATGTTACAAACAACAAAAAATCAATATCAATGTATGAATAAAAGGTGGCTGCTTTCTAGCTGGGAAAATCAAATTGGAAGAATAAATAACAGTAACTTGTCAATTATATGATATGTATCAATATACTTTCTTCAAAAGTAAACGTCATGTATACACTATTTAAAGGAGTTTATAGAATATCATGATTTTAATTCTATTATCTTGCATACCATGATATTTCAAATATGATGTAGTTTGTTATATGATAATAGGGTGGGCGTCTAAGAAATATGAGAAAGTGTTTTTGCTTGCATACGAAGGAGAAGCCAAAAAAAAAAAAAAAATTAGAAACTGTGTTTCTGAGGGATGGGGAGATCCGGGTAAGTGGATGCGAGTCTTTCTACTTTTCTTCCTCTCAATTTATATTTTATAAAAATTGTATTAAAATATTAAATAAAAAAATTTAATATGTTAAAATTTTTTCTCTGCTTGCTTTCATGAGTGGGAATAAAACAAATGGGGAGAATGAATATTGGCCACTTGACAATATTCTATGTATATCTCACAGTTTGGTTGGTTCGAATAAACTCTTTTTTGGGCCAGTGGTTCAGAATAAACATAAGTTTATCATGTCACATGTGAAAATACTTCTAGTGTTTTATATAGGAGAATAATAAGCATGTTGTATAGTATGAAAATAATACACACACACTGACGTTATAATTTAAAAAAAATACTATCACCTAATGACAGTCAAAATATTTTGTTATCTTACATATTATTTTTGGGTTAAATGATATATTTGTCCTAAAAGTTTTTCGCTAGGTGCACCGGATAGTCTTAACATTTAATTTACACAATATCATCTCAGAAGTCTAAAAAATAGTACGTTTTTGTTCTATAATAATGTTTGGCTAGCGTTGATTATTAGTTAAAAAATTTTAGTGGGATTAAATAGCAATTTTGCTCTCAAAAGTTTTCTAAATGAGTAATCAATATTCTAAACTTTTTATCAGAGCAATGTTTTTGAGCTTAAATTTAGACTTGTTCAAACATGTCCTTGAAAAACATAAACTAGCTTAGATTTTAACTTATAGGCATTCAATATAATTCAATCTAAAATCTTATTATAATCTTAGGTTATAACAAATTGCTGGATCTTTTGCTTGATTTGAAAATTTATAATTCAAAAATATTGTGACAATTAAAAGTTTATGATATCCATTACCACTTCAAACAAACTTCTCAAATAAAATTGCCCTTGAACATTCAAAATAATAGTTTAACGTTACTTTAGGACTGTACCTGGCAAATTTTCAGGGAAAAATTTGCCCTCTAACCCTATTATACTTTGTTAATCTAGATAAAGCGTAACATGTGTGTAAGTTTTATAACCACATTTTTATTTACAAATATAAAAATAACATTATAATTCTATAAGATGTAAATCATTAATATCGAAATAACGTAAAATGTAAGATTACATGAGACTTAGCATATATATAATTAATCAATATTTAATATGAAATTTATTGTAGGTCACCATTTATAAACTACAAATAATATCATGCATTTTTAAAGTGTAATTTAACTTTATAAAGTATCAGTATATGTAATTTATAAGAAAATTATATTATTCATAAACTGGCGTACCTTAATTTTTATTTTTGCGTTTGTCCTATGATACCGTGTCTCGGACGACAACAACATACGAGAATGAATAAAACAATACAGTACATTAAAATAGAATGGCAGACAGCTGTTTTCTTTTTTCCTTTACACACACACACACACACAAAATAACGACACGATGTTTGGCATATAATAACTTTATTTAAATTTGAAGAAAAATATGTTAAAATTTTTGAAATACACAGTTGAAATGTGTGGGAGTGGGGGTGTGAGAGAGAGAGAGAGAATGAGTTTATTTATATTGTAAAAGAATATAGGGAAGGTGGACCGCAATCGTTGTTTTTGGTTGTCAGTGTAATTATTAAGAATTTTAAAAAATATGAATTCGACAGGGACAGAGAAGTAAAACAAATGCAAGTATCAGATGGTATGGGAACATGTGAAAGTTAAGTAATATTGTCATTATTCATACTATTTATGTATAAAAGAAATAAATGGTGAAAAAAGAATTGGAAACCGAAAACGGAAAATAGGAAGTGAATAGGAATCACGTGACCTGAAGCTATAAATACCGTCGCTGCCATCACGAAGCTATGCATCACGCAAGAACTCTATTCCCCCACTTCTTCCATTCATTTCTGTCCCTTTCTATATATTTTTCCTTCAAAGAAAAAAAAAATGAAAAAGGCTCAGCTCCAGCAGGAGGCTGCCTTCATGAGAAGGTCCCTCTTTGATCAGGTATTATATGTCATCTTCTTCTTTAATATATATATATATATATATTGAAATATATTAATCGATGATTATAAGCAAGCGTGAATTTGAGGCAGTGTTCAATTGAATTATTGGATGGTGTATTTAGGGGTACCTGGATGAACAGTTTGAGGAGCTGGAGGGGTTGCAGGACGATTCTAATCCCAATTTCGTTGAGGAAATTGTCACACTCTTTTACAACGACTCTGCTAGAATGCTCTCCAACATCGAACACGCACTGTAATATAATTAATTAAATTAAATCCTTCCTTCATTAATTACCACTGATCTCTTGATTACTCCTCCTCGTTAACTTTGGCGTATCTACGTCCAACACAGCCTCGCCAGCCCAATGGATTTCGACAAGCTCGATGATTACATGCACCAATTCAAGGGCAGTTCCTCTGGGTACGCAATCCTTCTTCATTTAATTTCCTCGTAATGAACTTGGTTAACTCTCAAATGTTCTTCATGTATATGTATTGACAGTATCGGAGCCAAGAGAGTGAAACTTGAATGCGCTAGATTCGATGAATGTTGCGCCGCTAGAAACGCCGACGGGTAAAAAAACATGAATGGATGAACTGTTCTGCGTTTCTCAATTCAAATGAATTAATTTGTGAGAAAATAATGCATGCGCTTTAATTCTCAGGTGCAATAGGATTTTCCAACAAGTAAAGCACGAGTACACCACTTTGAAGAAGCAGCTTCAAGCATATTTCCAGGTATCTTTAAATTTGAAGTCTCGGTGGCCTCCTTGTCTCCATTTTGCAATTATTTTATGTATAATTATTTCATCTTATATTTATTTTATTGGAGCACATGTGCCTCAAGCATATTTTCAGATGTTTTATTCACTGGTTTCGTGTTCGATCATGTCGTCGTTTCAGGTAGCAAGGGAAGCTTCACAAATGTAACCGTGCTCAGCAATATCATTGACATGCCAGGATCTATCCCATATTATTGATATTCTCAACATAGGATTTTCCAAGCACATCTGCCTTATATCATAATCATATATATATATATAGACGTATCAGTATTCCCTAGCTAGCTTTTCATGAGTTGGCATGTGGTCAAATATTTTTCCACCTTTAGAAAAGTCAATTTACATATTCCCTCAGCGCTTTTGATCAGCCATGATCACTTGGATCAATTGCCTTGGTTATCCTTTTTTTTTTTTAATGTGATCAATAAAATAGTATATATTACAGCTCTGATCTCCTTCTTCTTGGTATATTAACATAAGATGGCATGGAAAATAATATGTTTGACGAACTATATATGAGATTTATAGTATATATACTTATTTTTCTATCATATTCCTTACATTATGCTTTATATTGCGTGTTAAATGATGGCTTGGGACGATGTTGAAATATAAGATGAGAATGATCATGTATTCGTCTGCGTCTACAACTAGTACAAATGAACGAATTTAATTTCTATATATCAAGCATAATTCCTTTGCGCGGTAAATAGCATAATCCCTTTAGTTGGCAAGAGAAAAGGAATTTTCTTTTCTTTAAAGTGAGCCCCCTCTTTAATGAAAGAATGCACTCTAATATTTCTATAATTTTACTATTATTTACATTGATGTTTCCAATCCCATTATCTCAAAAGAAAAAAAAAATTTTGTCTGACATTTAATATAGACCAAAAAAACTATCTTGCCCGTGACTTTCCATCAGAGAAGATAAATTTTATATTAACATTGTAACACACCTTATGTACGTTCTTTCCCAAACAAAATATTACTTGAGTAATGCATTTCATTTGTCACTATATATAAAATATTTTTAATTAATTTTTGTATATCAATAAACATTTATTATTTAATTGAAAACTCATAAAATCATAGCATTTTTTTAATTTTTCCCCTAATAAATGTATCAATTAAACATTATGGTGATGAGTAAAGCACATAATTAATATCTCTTTCATTTTTCAAGATAAGAATAAAATTATTTATTTATTTAAAATTATTATGACATTTTTTATATTTAAGAATAAAATAAGCTTTTAAAAAATAAATTTTATATACAGATAAAAAAAGCACAATTGAAGACCATTATAGTCATGGGTCATTATAACAAGCCATTTTGATAAGCCAAGCAGCATCATGCCTTGTACATGATGCATGGGGCACTAAAAATGAGGGTAAAAAGGTAAGTAAAAATTATAAAATTGAAATGGAATAAGTTCATTCTTTCAGAGGAATATATTCCATATGAAAGGTTGACCTTGTCAAAAGGAAGAAAACAATATAAATATCTGCTTATCATCATGTATAACTTATTTTTTTATTATTTATAAATATTTTTTTATTAAAAGTAATCTTATTTAAAACACAGTTGATACTAATCAGTTTGTTTTCTATTTTTAAAAATTATTTTTTTAAAATAAAAAAAAATTTAAATTTGTTCGGATAAGTGTTGTTCATTTAGTTGTTTCCAAAATTATTTTCATTTTTTATTTTTAAAAATAAAAAAATAAGAATAAATTTAAGTTATTTTTATTTTATCATTCTTATTTTTATAATACACTATATTTGATTATTAAAAATTATAATTATTTTGGTCAATTTTATCATTAATTACCATCGTTAACTGCTTATAATCATTACTGTCAATTCATTTTTAAATTCTAAAATTATTTTTTAATTGACATAACCAAATAGATTTTCATTTTATTTTGTTTAAAAAATAATTTTAAAAACTATATTACAAAATAATTTTTAAAATAAAAAAAATAGAAACAAAATAAACTTTAGACATATGCATCTCTCCTAGTAGAGATTCAAACATTAATTTACCATATTATGAGATATTAAACTCTTTCACTAGATCCAATCTGTTGGTATATAGAACTTAATTTGATAATTAATTTCAAACGTGTCCAACCCTTGTATGTTGGTGAAAACGCAATTTTGATAATTAATTAATAAGGTAGATCCATTTTGTGTCATGTAATGCTTTTAAATCTTTTTTTTTTTTTAAGGGCGCTTGAAAGAGGCCTAGTAAAAGCCCTTCTACAAGCAGCTAAGGCCCACGAAAAGCAAACCAGCCAGAACGTTCTTGTTTAATTACGAATTACCATCACAATGTATTGTTTTTTATTATTATTTATAAATCATTTTTAACATATTTTTTATTAAAATTAAATATATTTTATTTTGTAATATGTAATAGAGGAAAAAATTCATGATAAAGAATAAATATAATAATAATGCAAATTTTAATTTTTTAAAAGTTTTTAATTTAATCTTTTAAATTTAATTTCTATCATTTTAATTTTTAATATTTGTTTCAGTTATTGCGTTAGTCTCCTAGATTTGGCAAGACTTTCGAACTGCCGATAGCTTTCTAATGGCACTTTGATTCCAGGTCATAATGAAAAGAAAATTGCACGGCAAATTTGCCCTTAAAAGAAAAGCTGACAAGCAAAGTAAGTTACTGATGTGGAATATAAAAGTGAATTAATTAATATACATAAGCTAAATTTTCGAGTCCAAAACTGCTAATGCGTTATTCATTTTATTATAATTCTTAATTTAATTTACGTGGATTCTTTTTCTAAGTGTGTTTATTAATGTACATAAGCCAAATCTTCTAATCCTAATTACTAATGTGTTATTCAATTTACTATTTTATAATTCTTAATTTAATCTACATGAATTTTTTCCTAAATATGTTTTTTTTTTCCTTGTCCGAGTCCGTTTTCTTGCTTCTCACATTATTAATATACTCTCTCCGTCTTTGAATAGAGAAAAATTTCAACCAATTCATATAGTTTTATAAAATTAGTTAATCATAATAGTTATGCCTAAAATTAAAGTGTTTGAAATAAAATATCTTTGTAATTAATATTTACTTTTTTCCCTCTAATTTAATAATATTATCTATTTATGAGTGACAGTGTGAGAAAAATATTATTAATACTTATTAAAATTTATAATTTTGATTTATAATAAAAAATGAAAAAAACACATGGTAGTTTTTCTCATCCCTAAAAAAGTAATAGTACATGACTGCTCCATCATTATTTTGTTAGCCATGTTAACATAATTTAAAAATATTAAAAAAATTTAAAGATCACTTAGATAAATTTATGAAATGTTAAAGATTGAAATAATAAATTGAATTTTAAAGACTAAATCAATAACTCCTTTAAATATAAGGGATTAAAAATTATATTATCTAATCAAATTTCATGCCTAATGAATAAGGCTAAAAAAACATAAAAAATGTGTATTTAAGGACCTTCTAAGAGACTTATTTATAATTAAGAATGGAATGATATAGAAATTGTTCTATAAGATTAAGGAACTTAAATGAAATTATATTATATTATGAAAATATTAAACTATCCTTGATATTAAAAAAAAAAAAATCCACCCGACAGTCGCCGACCCGGAGGATCAACTGAGAACAATTCTCATGAACAATGAGCGGAATGCACCCATCCATTACTCTCTAGAATCCCCAAAGAACCATCATACGAGGGAGATTTACATGGAAATTTCTGGATCTAAGCATCGAAATCTACCATCATCACTTATTTCACAATCATCGTTTTCTCCAAGCCTGGTCCATCTTCTACACCAAACATCCCTGGTCGAGTCAGAAGCTTTACAAGTCTGAAATTCTCGTAAATCAACACTGCTTGCGATGAACCTGACTGGGATGTTTTGAAGCACTCGATCGTATACAAATTTCCAAGGGGTGAATTTGAGACCTTCGAAGTGCTTGTAAAGCAGAATGATGGTCAGATTGTACAGACCCTCGAAATTTGGATGAACCTGAAACGAGATGGAGTAAGTAACCATTGTCGAAATCTCTCACCACAGGCCGAGATTTCCACCGTTCTCTTGAAATATCAGTTTCAACATAATATGACCAACAGATTCAGGAAAAGCAAGGAAAGCGTATCAAATACGATTAAGGCCAAAACGAGTTAGGTGGACTTAACCTGAGAGAGACCACCTTGCTCAACGAGGAAGGGTCGGACCCTGACGCGATCGCCTTCTCGAATGTTTTTCTCACGGCACCGAGAGGGTTAACCAGAAAATCGTACGCCGGACCTGCCATTTCTGAGTTCTGGGTCTTCTAGGGTCATCCCCACTTAAGCAACGAGGATTTCCAGACTCATCCAATGCTTGGAAAGTAAATTCATGAACTTCACCAGTTGAAGCTCTATCTCTTTCCCGTTATCCAAACCAGGAACAGCAATTTGTATGGTGTAAGAATCTCTTCAAGTTTGTCCCTTAGGAGCTAGCCATCGAACTAGAAGATTTGAAGTCAAGTTGGGTTCTAATCCAGGAAAAATCCAACCAGGGCTTTGCTGAACCACATTCTGGATTGGCTTCTTATCAATTATTTCAGACACCAAGGTCGAATTCTAGAGACGAACAGGTTCATCGGGAACCAAAAAAAAAAAAAAATTGATCAGGAGTGTTTTAGTCTTTTTGCGACATAATCTAACTTCATCCTGTATAGCAATTTCAGAATCATTCGATTTTTGGATGCGATTTTCTTTATTTAAAAAAAAAAAACAGTCTGTTTGCTTTATTATTGGATATGGAGTATATATATGTACATGCAGCTCAAATCTTGATCATTAAACGGATCCATTCTTTTCTTTTTTTTTTTTGCCTATTTATTTTATTAATGAAATACAGCAACTCCTAGGTTTGACTTTTTACACCGTGCTATTTCCAACAGAAATGCGCCACTCTCATTTATTCCTGATCTCGCTTCCCTGTAGTCGTCACATACTCATTCTTGTTGCAAAATCACGATTCATCAATCGCTTTTACGAGCAATAAATTCCACACCTCATCTAAATTTTAAATACCGAGTGCTTACACATAATTTTAAATTTAAGCAGAGTAGATTATTTAACCAGAAACACGATTTAAGATGTCAATTATCACCGATCTATCACGTTCTATGTACTCTTAATAAAATGATTAATTAATTGAAAGAATTATGTTGTTTTTTGAGATTTAAAAGTTTGCAATGTTGGTCCTTTGTCAAGTTATAGTGAAAGTTAGTAATATCTCAAAATCCAAGACAATCAAAAACTTCAATTTATTTAATAAGAAGTTCATATCTTTTTATGTAATTGTATTATTAACGATGCGAACTTTACATTAACCACTGAATTAAATAACTATTTTTAAATTAGTATTATTCAAAAAAGAATATTGCACCACAAAATATACAGCATCATCTCTAAAATAAAAGGAAAACACATTATTAATTATCGTTACTTGGTTAAAACAAGTTGCCCTTTGACTCCCTTGTCATGCTAGCTAGTTATGAATGTAAAAGCAATGTGAGTGCGGGCCTCTGTTTAAGAAGTAATATAAGGAGCTGAAAGCCTGGAACCATTGAGATGGACGTAGCTTGTCAGTACTTAATTTGCGAGTATCGATCAAGGTGCGTTCTCCTTCTCTGGCTCTTCCTCCTCGCGATATACATAATTCCGTTGATTTTTTTTTTAAAAAAAATATTTATTGATCTGGGATTAAGTAATAATAATATATACATATATATATATATATATATATATAATTAAGATGTTGAATTGTGAATGATCATCAGAGCAATATATAATCGAGAGGAGGATATAGCAGAGAATGGAGGTGGAATCTGGAGCTCTTTATTGTTTGGCTGATGATGATGGCAGACCCTTCAAGAACCGGTCGGCTTTCTCCCAACTCTTTCTTTCCCTTCCTTCCCTTGCCATCATCATCTTCTTGCTCTTTTACACACAGACAAACGCACACACGATTAATAATTAGATCAGAAACATCACTTTCACTAATCATAGCTGCGTCGTGTGGAAATGCATCTGAACTCGCTTTGCAATGATAATAATGGAATGGAGTTCACAAACTCAAATCCCTGTCAAATAAAATATTTAGTATTCTCAAGATATTTAAGGATATCAACTTTAAACTCTTATTCATCCTGTCACGTTTTTTTTTTTCGGGCCCACATTCATCTGGTAACGTTTTGATTCTTCTAAAATGATAATTGTCGAAACATTGATGTTTTTATTAGAGAATCAATCTTGATAACAAATCTATTCCAGGCAAGCCGCTCCTAAAACACAGCTCCAGACACTAAACATTGTTCATCAGCTCTATGAACAGTACCTAGCTTTAGCTACAGTGTCAGCTTCACACCATCAACGCACGGCTGAGGGGAGGTTTAATTAATACATGGATCTGGGAGAAGAGTTTTTACAAGACTTCCTTGCCTATTTTGTACGGCATTATCATCATTTTTCAGAGGGCAATAGCACTCGGCTTTTGACTTCTCCTACAAGCCTAATCGCTCAACCACACAAAACCAGACTCATTTGTTTTCCTACCCATTTGCTTTGTCTCGGCATCCTCACTTCTCCTATAAGCTCAATCACTCAACTCACATTTGAGGAAAGGTTCTCTAATTCTTCCGACTCCAACCACTGCTTCTGCCAAGCCACAGATCCTCTGATTCCTCTGACCACCTCTTCCTTTACTGTAGGTATGGGCTCTCATCTTTCCTTCTACATCTCATCCCATTACTTTGCTGTGGACATGACGGGAAATTGAAGTCGGCAATAGAAATTTAGTTACACCATAGACAAGCCAGAAAATGATTGTCTATTTTTTCTTGCCTTTTGTGTTTCAAAAAACGGTCGTCACTCATAAGGAAAATCCTTAATCTCTCCCATTTTCTTCCTGGGCTGCTTCAATTTTTCTACACTTTCAGCCAATATACATGCTTTATGTATTTTAAAGATATATATTATCTTAAAGAGCTGAAAGGCATCATCTTGATTGTTTGAATCTATGGAACAACTTGTGAACTTCATCATCTAGCCACCAAGATATCAAATCTTAACCATTTATTATATTCCCCGCGTCTGGCTTTCTAACTATCAAAATGTCATTTTTACATTATTCTGCAGGGATCAAGGATTGATGTTGAATTATGGTGAAGAGAAGGAGAAATGATACGTATTCTTTTAGAAGAAAGAGACAGAATAATCAACCTCAAACTATAGGAGTTGCTGCCATTGGCATTGCTAGAGCAAGGAACCAAAGAGGTCATCTCGGTCTCTCTTCACTCCCTTTTGTTGTATTTATGCTCAAGTATCGATGTCATTAGCCATTTTTATTTCCTAATAAGATTTTGACAGTATTTTATGTTGAAAGGATTGGTAGGTAGATTGAGGATTTTCCTTTATTTTGAATTATATGCCAATCACTTTACATGCCAATGGTTTAAAATGTATCATTTAAACTTTTATAACATGTTCTTTTACCATCAAACCACTGTTTGCTATTTTCTTAAATATAAGTAATAGAATAATTGAGGATTTAAATTTGTCATGACATATATTGACTTTGCTTAGGATAAATATGAAGCCAGATCACCATCCTCTTTCCTAAATAATTAAAAAGGTTTGCCTCTACATAATTAAAATAGTTGAGAAATTGACCCATCATTTTAATTGTCTGTTATGTTTCTTTATCTTTATCACCAATCCTCTCCATGAGCTCAGTAATGCAAAAGGAATAATTAAGCTCAACAACAGCGACCTAGAACTAATGAAGATGGGATTGGTGGTGCTTAATATGTTTAAAGCATCGACTACCTGCAGACCCACAAGCACGGCGGTGATGAAGAAGAAGAATAACAACTGAACTAACACTGAGCTCAATTATCCTAAGCATTTAAACTTTTATAATATGTTCTTTTACCATTAAACCATTGTCTGCTATTTTCTTAAATATAAGTAACAGAATAATCGAGGATTTAAATTTGTCATGACATATATTGACTTTGCTTAGGATAAATATGAAGCCAAATCACCATCCTCTTTCCTAAATAATTAAAAAGGTTTGCTTCTACATAATTAAAATAGTTGAGAAACTTACCCATCAATTTAATTGTCTGTTATGTTTCTTTATCTTTATCACCAATCCTCTCCATAAGCTCAGTGATACAGAAGGAATAATTGAGCTCAATAACGGTGACCTAGAACTAATGAAGATGGGATTGGTGGTGCTTAATATGTTTAAAGCATTGACTCCCTGCAGACCCACAAGCACGGTGGTGATGATGAAGAAGAATAACAACTGAACTAACACCACATGGAGTAAGAACATGTTCAAAGGATTCTTTTATTTTCTTTTTCTTTCTCTTTTAACTTTTTTTTGGCTTAATCATTAGTTATTTACCCTATTTTTTCTTCTTCAATCGTCTATTTATTTGTGTGGTAGCTACTCTGTGTGTGGGGGGGAAGAAGCTAGAACATGGATTTCAAATGTACTTAAAAAGCATATAAGTCTACAGGATTACTTTTGTGATTTTGTTATTTATAGATTATGAATAATCTTTTGATTGACCGATATAAGTCTACAGGATTAGCTTTACACCTATGGCTACTCAATTTATTGATAAAGGTTTCATATTTATTAAGTATGATAGGACATGGTTGTTAGGATATAGAGTATGAAAGGACACTTTGAGCATTGTGCACTGAAGTATGAAATGTGCTTGCTGTTTTTCATCAGTCCCTATATCATATATAATCTGATGGAATATAAGACATTAAGGTTTTATACTTTATCTATCAGTTATTTTCTATTACACAATAGTATTTTCCTTTTGGCTCTTAAAAAACTATCGTTGTGTCTATTACTTACTTCCACTGACAATCTCATTGCACACATCCTCATAATAGTACTTTCCTTCTGACACGTGACCAATTCATTAGTAATAGTTTGAATTTGAATTTCAAATTGAGTAGCCACCATGGCATCATTAGAATCTTGTCTTCACCCTCAAATATCACAGCTCTATTTTATTAGCTTTGCTTGAATTGTCCTTGTCCTTTCTTCTCTTCATTTTTTTATTCTGATTTCTAACTTCTTTTTATTAGTTTAACACTTGATTTGTTGTATGGAGCATCAGATGGCTTCTTATAAATGATTTCTCTCCCTTTCAGGTTGAGATTAGTGCTGGATATCCACAATCTTTGGAAGTAGTAGACTGAACGGAGTTAAAGATGAAGAGAAAGAATGTTTGTAGTTAATTTATGGTTTCTTGCCCTTATTAAAACAGTTGAGTTTTATAAATCATAATGTGTGGTTCCTTATTCTATCTGTATATTTCATTGTGTCCATCAATTGTAGGAGGGTTCAGATGATCTTTCCATAAAGAGCTCAGATCTTTTTGTACTTGAGGGATTTGTTATTCAACTAGAGTCCAGCCAAAGTAAGTTAGAGTATTACCATCTAACATTTATATTTATTATATTGAATTTTCTCCCTTATATCTTGATTGTTTTTTTAAGTTATTGTTTTTGAACATGTTTTTGTTTTTATACAGAGAAGTGCAATGTACTAGCAGGGGCATCTCACCAGTAGATTTCGAGCTGCCTTCTGTCATTATTTAAATTGAAACTAATGTATGCTTACAACTGGCGATATATATATATATATATATATATTATATATCCATTGATAGGATGTCTTTTTAAAGGATGGCGATATGGAAGGACACCTTGAGCATTGTGCAATGAAATCTGTAACCTATGCATTGATTTTTTGCTTTTCCTATATCATAAATAATATGATAGCATGCAATATATTAAGGTTACATAGTTTATCCATCAGTTAGTTTCTATTGCACAATAATATTTTTCTGTTTGCTTTTTAAAAAAGGTCCCATCAGCCTGTTTTGCCCTCTTTCATGGTTCGTATTTGATACACAGGACTTAACTCATTACATTGTATCAATGGATGGGCTGATCTCACATGTTCTCTTGCCTATTTTGACCAGGACATGCTTCAAATTACACTGATATTCTTGCATGTTCCTACCTCGATTCCATTGATGCATTGCTGGATTTGTTTTCTTCTCTCAGTTTGTTCTTTCCAATATTTATCTGTTGTTTTGATTGGCATCATGACTCGTGACACAAAAGTTCCTCTTCAACTTTGTTTGGTGATATAAATAGGCAAGTTGCTTTTTGTAAGCCATGAAAGAAAAAATGAGAAAGACTAAAAGGATGCTGTGTGAGTATGGTGGCTATGCTATTCCCTGTTACATTAATATTTTTTTTATTCCTATAAATAAATTAGCTTGAGCAAGTTTCTAGGATGAGTTAGTCACAAGCCTTTACAGAGTTGTTTTATAGTATTCTAGATTTTACAATTTAGTTGTTTATCTTCGGAGAATAATTTATTCTATGAATAATGGTTTTGTACATGTATTTTTCCTTGAGCCAAATTCACTTCCATATGTATGATATACTTATTTTCTTGGATGGAAGCGTTGGGCAAGAACCCCCTTGCCTCTACTTATATATTATTTTATTACTTTTATTTATGGGCCAAGTTAGGTAAGATTATATTGGTGGCAAAGTTATATTGTGCATTATGCATGTTATTCGTACTAGAAGTTTATGTGGGAATCAAATTGTTTGAAATATAAATTAATAATTAGCTATTTAGTTCAATTTTACTCATTTAGATGTCAAATACTATCAATATAATGCACAAAGAAATCTCTCATTACCTCTGCCCTTACAATTTTTTTTTTAAACTTTTAAGGTACAAATGTGTGATTTTTTGTAATTGTTTTTGAGTTAATTATATAGTGAAGAATGACATCCTTATTAAACATTTTTTTTCCAAATACAATAGTTTTATCTAGGTAATACTTCATTTATCTTTTTTAACCATGTGTTACCTATTATGGTGTAATTGTCTGGACTATATACTATCATTATTTAAATTTATATGTGTGTATCATATAATATCATGAGAGTCAAAAGATCAACCTGTAGTTAGTAGTATTATAATATAATTATATGTGTGTCATAATAAAGTAATATTATAATATAGCCATATGTGTGTTTAGCCAACCCATGGCACATGGTGATATATATTACTCCCTTCATTCCAAATTATAAGACACTTTTAGAGAAGGTTTAGCATTTTCAAACATCAGACACTTTGATAAAAATAAGATGTTATTAATAACATTTTTTTAATGTTATCCTTACCATATATTCTCTTTTTTCAATGTTCTTTTATCAATGGAGTATTAAATGAAGGGTATTTTTAAAAATTTATATTTTTATCTTAAAAAAGTAAAGTTGTAAAGTGTATTTAATAAACTTTATTGATACATGAGATTTTATCTAAAAATATCTTATAATTTAAGTAGAGGGAGTATATGTTAAGGATTAGCCAACTTGTGCAACACGATTGTATGAATGATATTCATCTTTTACACAATTTCAAATTTAAGTTGGCATTTCATTTTTTCTATGCAAAACTGCAAATGGTTAATTTTTTTTTTTTTTACTTTGTATTTTGAGCTACATATATAGCAAACTTTGTTAACAAATGCTCAACTTCCTTATCAAGCTTTTTTTTTTTTCCAGCATATAATAACTATTGTTAAGTTATACGTTATTTTCTTTTTGATTAAGTACTACACATTATGGCTTTTTTTTTTTTTTGACTTCTAATATCATTACTTGAATTTACATTTTATTGAATTTGCCAACCAGTGCAACGCATGGGGCTGTGTCTAGTGTGTGTGTGTATGTGTGTATATATATATATGTTACCTCTCATTCATGTTAATCATTTTTATATGTAAAACATTACTGTGGACGAATCACGTAAATTTTTTAAAGTTAAATTTCCTTCTCATAAATGAATGATTCACGAGTACAATTTTTTTCTTAAAAAAAAGTCTATTAAAAATTATTTGTTAAGCCCTATATTTATAAATATCACTTTTCTTGTGAGATTTCTATAATTTTATGTAAGACTCGCAGTCTCCCAACTATAATATTATTAACACGATTTTAAGAGTAAAATCAATTTCAAAAAACTAACATATTAAATGGGATAAATTCTTACACTTTTAATAAGACACACTTTTTTGGTAGGACATCTTGATGAATAATTGATAACACACATATTTTTCTTACTTCACTCATTCTCAAACTACTAAAATTCAAAAAGTTGTGCATTCCTTTTATTGTTTTCCTATGTTATTGGATTATCTTAATTCCCATTTTAAACTTTTACACCTGTGTACATGTCTTTAACTTTTTCTATCTTTTTTTTTTTTAAATTTTACCCCTAACCTATTCATTTTTTAATAAAAAATAGAGACACACAACCATATATACATGTAAATATGTCTATGCTAGATTTAAACCCGAGATATTTTACTAGTAAAGGGGTAGCACTGTTGTTAGAATAATTGCCGTCGACAATCTCTATCTTTATCTCTTTCTCTACCAACTCTAAATTAAAGTATTTTCCCACTTTTATTAGTTTATTTGAACGTTTGAAATTCATTAACTTCTCAGGTTACTCTTAAATTGTACATTATTCTTTGGATACTCTAAAATCGCCCTTCTTCTTTTATACCATGACAATTTTTTTTTTTTAATCAACGACGAGACAACTTTATGCTGTATTTTACATGTCGATAAAAATAAAGTAGAGGTGCTCGAAAGAGTTTTCAACAAATAAAAGATATATATGAAAGATCATTTTTGTCGTATAAGTAGAAAAAAAAAATTAGCAGTGCATACTGTGTATCTGTGTATGAGCAAATTAAAATATATGCATTTTTTATTACAAAATGTATCTTTTCAGACATGCCAAGACCATTTCATTTGAGAGAATCCAGAACTTGATAAATAACAGCTATATTGCGAAAAGGGCAAAAAATAACAACTATAAAATATAAATGACACTGTTTGGCATAATGGAAGCGCTTTATTTTTTATTTTTTTTTATCTTTTTAGGGAAACAAACTATTCAAGAACAAGGTTTTTCTTTACTTTTCTATAAGCTTGAACAACTTTTCAAACAAATGGTAGTATAAACTATTTTTCAGTCATTTCAAAAACAGCATATTTTTTTGCCAATTAATTAGTAAAGCAAAAGCATGAATTGACAACTTCTATTTCGATGTATGACTTGAAGCAACTTTTTCTCTTCTTCTTCTACTTCTTTTCAAAAGATGCCTTCATTTAAAATTGCTATTGACATATTTATTCTCCATCCTTGCTCCTCCTCGGCCTCCTCCATCATTCTCATTTTCACACTCAAGCTGCTCATATGTACATAAATTTTTCTTTTTTATTTATTATAGATATGTAGTTAAGGTTATTTCTTGATACATTTTATATGTTCACTATGATTTTATGTTGTACACTTCTAAAGTAGACATTTGAAACTTAATTGAAAGCAGCTGTAATAATTATTTAAAATATTTAATATATTCAAAACAATATTAATTATTGTACATATCATTTTTTAGTACTATATGTAAAAATAGGCCTTGAAATATTTCTGCTCAAGATAATAATATTTAACAAAGACATTTATGAAATAATTTTTTCGAGCACAAATAATTTATCTCTGATAGCATACCTTTCATGAAAATAGTTAAGAGACAACAATAACTCAAAAACATAACAAAATTCATGATTCACGATTCAAATGCTTGATTGCGTTGACCCACAGACACATTTGATCACACAGGGCAATATTACAAGTGAGGTAATGGCAGATAATATAAAATCAAACTCAAGTTTAAAACAGAGTATTAGAAGTAGAAATTTTCTAGCAATCTATCAAAGTATCAATCCACATGCATATAGTGGGTGAGGTGATTGATCATTACGACAAACAGGGACGGAATGGACAGCGACGGCACATATAATAACGGCGGCGGTGGGGGCCGGCGTGCCGTCACTGGCTTGGGCCATGGCTCAGTTGGGATGGCTCATTGGCCTAACCATTATCTTTGCCTTCGCCGGCGTCAACCTCTACACTACCAACCTCCTCGCCGACTCCTACCGATCACCTGATCCCGTCACCGACAAGAGGAATTACTCTTACATGGAGACTGTCAAAAACATTCTTAGGCGGGAAACAATATTGTTTCTCTGGGATCGTTCAGTATGGCAACCTCGCTGCCTTTGCCATTGGCTACACAATCACTACTTTTATAGGCGTCGTGTGAGTCTACACTCTCTTGAGCATTTTCACCACTTGACTGAGGTTATGAATTGAATGGATAGATATTTCCTTCAGGGCAATACGCAAAAATCAATTGCTACCATTACATGATAGAGGAAGAATCGTGCCGTTATTTGAATAATCCGTGCATGATAGGGTTTGGAATTGTTGAAATAGTTTTGTCCCAAATCCTCAATTTCCACAAGCTCTCTTGGCTCTCTCTCTATCATTGCAGCTGTAACGTCTGTTGGGTATGCATCTATCAGTGTAGGCCTCTCTCTTGCGACCATCATTCAAGGTTTGCCTCCCCATTTTATTTGTTTCAAAATAAAAAGCATAGGCTGATGATTTGTATCCATAGAGAGAATGAGAATGGATTGAATCAGGGAGAGGAGGCAAAACATCCTTCACTGGAAGTAGGAGTGTTCATAAGATGAGACCGGACTAGAACACCCCTATCTCGTGTCCTATTCTTGGAAAAAAAAAGACTCGAACTGAATTTTTATCTCATAATTCGTCTCGTCCAGAAAGTCATCCTATCCCATTAGAAGTCGGGACAAGATTGAGACGTCTCACCTTCCCGATAAATATGATAATGTTGGAGAAACATTTAGATAATAATATTTATTAAAATTTTAAATTATATAATTTATTAAATTTAAAATCAAAACAGTACAAATACATAAATCACAACAATTTAAAGTCAATTATTGAATTACATTAATCACAACTACACATTATGATAGCAATTATAAGTAATTTTTAGACTATAAAAGTAGTAACAACAGGCAAGTAAAGTATAACATTAAATCATTGTTCTTCTATTTTAGTTGAGATGTGCTAAGCTAATTACTCTTTTGAAAATAAAGCAATAACTACGATATAAATAAAATTTATTAAATAGATAGATATAAGAATAAATTATATTATATAATATAAAGAAAGATATCACCATATTTACTCTATGTCATTAAAATTATTAATATAAAAAACTTTAATTTTATATAAGAGATGCAAGTATTGAAATTATAATTGATATGTTTAATATAAGTATAAATTATATTAATATAATTAATATATTTAATATATATTTTTAAAATAAACAATAATATATATAATATTCAAAACAAGATGTTCTCATGATAATCCTGTATTCCGTCTTGACTGTTTTCAGGCTGGGATGAGACTTGGCCCCATATAATTGAAATAATATCAGGTCAATCAAAATGAGTATAAGTTAAACAACCCTAATTAGAAGCAATCTAGATCAAACTCCAGCACATGGAGCGTGGAACATGCTCGTTTCTCTGGGAAATGTTGCACTTGCTAGCACTCACTCTCAACTTATCATCGACATTGAGGTAGTGTTAGTATCTCAGTGTAAAATCGAGTTTTGAGTTGAATATATTATCTGTTACCTTAAGGTTTGTGGCACGAAACAGGACACTTTGAAGTCATCACCACCAGAAAATGAAACGATGAAGGCGGCAAACAGGAATGGGATAGACACAATGACAATCATGTTCCTCCTGTATGCATGCTCTGGACGCGCTGCGTTTGGGCCACACACTCCTGGCAGCATCCTCATGGCCTCTGGATTTCACGAGCCCTTCTGGCTAGTCGACTTGGCCAACGTCTTGATCGTGGTCCATCTGGCCGGAGTATATCAGGTTCGTAACCTTGCTCTCTTCCCATGTCATGTTTTTATTTGAAAAACCAAACGCTCGATCCTCGTATTGTTATTGTCGAACCATCACGACTGGACAGGTAATCACCCCACCCATTTTCCGAGTGGTGGAAACCATGGCTGGGCAGAAATGGCCTAACTCAGGGTTTGTGACGAAGGAATACAGGGTGGACATCGGGAAAAAGAAGTTGAGCATGAACATGTTGAGGCTGGTTTGGAGGATCACATTTGTGGTGGTGCTGACAGTACTAGGCATGGCAATGCCATTTTTCAATGACATGCTTGCAGTTCCTGGAGCCATTGGGTTCTGGCCCTCCGTCATCTATTTTCCAATGAAGATGACCATTGCCAGACAGAAAATTCAGCAACGATCCCTCAAGTGGTTTGGACTTCAAACACTCGACTTATTTTGCTTCCTTGTGTCATTGGCTGCAGCAAGTGCCGCTATTCATGGAATAAATCAAGCTCTGGGCAGATTCAAACCATTTATGCACAAGGAGTGGTTTGCTTGCGTTTCTGACTACGTCTGAGATTAAAAGAAGGGAGAGACTTCAACATATTTCTGACTATTTTATGTGTGTGTGTGTGTGTGTGTGTATAGAGGGAGAATGAAAATAATCTGCTGTTCAACTTGAACACAAAATGCATGCAGGAAAAAGAAAATGAGCTAGATTCATGCTCGAGACGTAAATCTTGAAGCAGCAAACCGGTGAAGCTCCGTTTTGTTGTACATTGACGCGAGGTAAAGGCACCGATTAATGAATTACGTCGATAAAAGAAAATTCCGAATTTACTTCTACTTAATTAGAAAGATAATCAATACTCCAAATTTTAACCTATTCTTGGAAATTGGAGATAATGGTAACTAGGAAAAAGCTAAATAATACTCCTTTTTTCCTGTAAAGTGATTAATATACAAGGCTGCTAATTTGTTCCAAAAGTAAACCAAAACATAGAACCAGAGGGTGTAAACTAAAATTAAGGGCAAACAGAAGAAAATGAAAAGGCCAGATGGTGCTATCCCTTTAAAGGAGAGCAAAGATTGGTGAAAAATACAGCAACATTTTACAAGATTGTTATTCACTTAATTGAAAACCGGCTCTGTACATGGCCAAGAGCAAAATGATAATCCCGACCCCCTAAATGTGACTTGGACTTTAATCCAGTGCCTTTCCCACTGATTTCCTGTCGTCCTCTTTCTAATTCACATTGACGTAATGACTTTTTGGATACATTTACACGATGCATCAACCATATCACACCAATCAAACCAAGTTCCGACCCTAACAAATCAATGAACACCACAACAAAACAAGTCAGTGCTTTGAACATGAAACCGAGTTTCATGGTTTAAAGGATGAGACATTTTGTGCAACTCCGTCACGCTTCTCATCTATGTACAAAAATGATCATCACAGCTCCCTCCCCTAAAGCCCAATATCTTACACCATCACACTGTTCAAACTTCACATGCACCCTTCCAACCACACTCGGGGCTACAACAACCCAAACTCAGCATAAGGCGGCAGACTTAAACCATTCTCCTCCCATACATCCATCATGTGACTCCTTGAGACTCATTTCCTACAAAAAGACACAAAAACCAAACAGGACAGTATGAAGATATACTAATTCACACTGAAGAGTTCAAAAACATGCCTTGCCACTAGCTTCTGCAAAGTTTCTGCCTTCGCTCCACCTCGTGGTTATACAACACTTCTGATTCTGGGATCTGGTGGCTATACACAACAGGAAAACAATAGAAAGCATAAGATTTGGATCACCATGCATGCAAAAATCTTTATTAAAAAAAAAAAACAGAGAAAATGAAACAAAAAGTCAGGTCTTGTCTCTGAGCCCTCTATATACAAAACAAATCAGGTTGGCTAGCACGTATAGTGGTGCAGGACCTGCAACCACATATTCACGAGTCAGAAAATCATCTATGGAAAAGTCAATGACCATGAAATTGATAATAACAGGGTAACTCAGAGGGAATATACACGTAAAAACTATAGGACATAGTTTAAAGACCCAACGAGAAAAGGGGAAAAAATAATAGGAACAGGCCAAACCGAGTGGTCACAATGTATTTTATCAAATGAAAATACATATAACCAAATTATTAGATTTGTTCCAAAAACAGGATTTATAACCATATGAGACTTGTTTCAGACAAAGAATTCTCATTTTTTCTGAAAAGCCATTCAAATTAAAATTGCAGCATTTGTTATTTGTTCTTTGTTATTAAAACAAAAAAGGGTGAAAAATCTAAGAATTTAGAAGATCATCGTCACTAAGGGCAATGAAAGAGAGTAGAAGTTTCAAAACCTTGATTCTTCAGCCATTCTGTTTTGAAATACGGTATTCCCATCTAAACAATCACTCTTCAAAATGGAATCTGGGCCTGCCACTTAAACATCACCCTGCAAAGATCCCTGACCCTCACTGTCTCCCAGACTCAGCTATCCCACTGCCTGAGTTATCCCACAGCCATCCACAATAGTCCCTAATCCATAATCCATAATATGCCTTCAAATGAAGAAACTCACCTCGTAGTTGAGGTTCTGGGTGCTGGCACTTGACACATAGTTGGCACGTTCCAAACAATCTAAATCATGATCCCGATCCTTGTCCTCATTTATACCATTCTGAAATCGACCAACTTCTAAATAAGGAAATTCACGTCACAAAAACGACTCCCAAAGAGATTTCTCCACTGGTTCAGCACGCATACCTCATTCTGAACTTCAGGGCTTTCTGATTGCATCTTATCAAGTTTGGAATCAACTATACGTGTTCCATTTCTCTCTGTGAGACTGCCTAGATTAATGGTTCCACCTCCTAGGTGTCTCCCAGGTGACTTAATTTCCAAATTTCCATCTTCATCCTTGTTTACTGAACTGTCTATTTTAGACCCTTCAATTAAATCAATACTCATCTGAGAAATACCACCTGATCTACTATTACTACACTTAGGGAAAGCAGAATCCAACCTCTGGGGACTAATAGAGGCTTGCTTCTCTCGTTTTACTGGCTTCACATCTGTTTCAGTATCATTTTTCCTCTTGATGCACCTTTCAACAGACTCAGAGTAGCACTTTGTGGCATCCCTGCTTGCTTTTTCAGCCAAATGATTCAGATGCCTTGACATTCGAATACGCTTATAACCATCCGGAAAAACAAATGCAGGGAGCTGCTTTCGACGAACATGAGAAACATAAATTTCCATTCCTGGTTTCCAATACATAAACATGTTTATCTCTTGCCTAAATTCATCAACTGTTCCACGTATATCAAATTGCTGTCCTTCTTGATCTCTTATTCCCTCTTTTCTTTGCAAGCCCATGAAAAATGCACAATGTGGACCAGGCTTGGATGTGTCAGTACACTCATGTGGATTAGGATGACACTGCAACATCCCATTGGTGTCCCTCTCTATCTGCTAAGTTGCATAGTTCTAAGATTACCTATCAATAATAAATAAAGAAAATATATGGACTAAATCCAGTGAAGGGTCTCATATCAGATTACGACATGACTTTACCAGTTTACCTTCAGGGTGAGCAGCCTCAACCGGGATTCTACCCAGCCCTTCCATGCTAGCAAATCATCAGCATCTGCTGCAATTATGTCAACTTGCAAGTAGTTTTTGTACGCCTCAAAAAAAGAATACAGTTCAAAAAGAGCACTCCACTCGGCTTTGTTAAGCTCTATTTCCTAACAACAGAAAATAACATCATGTGTATCAATCAAATTGAAGTGCCTAGCATATTAATGAAAATTTGACATATTCCACTCACCTCACATATCTTGTTGCCAAACTGGAACTGATCCATCATAACACGAAGCGTGCTTGCAGAGACATTGTAGCTGGAATTCATGCAAGGATATGCGGGGGTAATTATTGGCATATGATGAAACCTGTCCCGGGGATTCCTACGAGGATCCCATATGGCGAAGCCCAGATCATTCTCTTCTATAGAGCATAGCATCACAGGGTTTGGCCACCGCCATTGTGTATATACTCTGAAAAACCGAGAAACCAACATGCTAGGAATTGCATTAGGATAAAGCTGGCAAACTCGAGCAACTAGAAGAGCCCAATTCACACCGCCAAGAAATCCAATAACCTGAAGATAACAAAAGAAGATTATGGAGAAAGAATGACAGAACTTAATGGCATTGATGATGAAAAATTTTGAAGGTCCTGGATCTTACATTTGAATAAACACCACGCCTTTTAGCCCAATGCTTCAAACATCTCAGGGTGGTTCGGAAGTTCTAACATCATCATGTGTTAAAGGACTATAAAATTAATAAACTCTAGAATCATAAAATAAAATGTATCTTTCCTAAAGTACTGGAGATCTATATTACCTCAACGTTTGGAACAAGTTTAAGAATTTGATCTGCCACTCGGCAGCCATTAAGACTTCTAACAGTAGGTTCATCAACATGATACAGCACAGACACACTAGAAATATCCAAGTCCTGTTGACAACAGTGTTTGAAAACCATAAAGAATGGAAGGCAAGATTATACAGTAGATTCCAAGGACTGATAAAGAGTAAATGGAAGAAAGCTAAGGTCGAGTTTAAATGTGCGTCTCTCTTGGAAAAATACAAAACTAAAGGGACTAAGGATGCACACTGCCCACATGCATACCAAAAAAATAAATTGACAATCCAATTTAGTTCAAATAATTGATCTCCCTCAATTAAATACATTAATATCTGCAGTGAAAACATGCAATTAGCAAACTTACAAGTGACAAAGTACATACAGGATACTTAACGAAAAGGAACGGACACAGTGAATATTAAGATTTTCTAGGGAGATACCATTCACAACTCTCTAACTGATTCACCAGATCTTAGGGCAGGCCCCAAACTCTAAGGAACGAGGATGCTACTTTTGTTTGAGGTAGAAACTATTATCATGAAAACCCATGAAATATTGAACCCTTGATAAATAAGGAATTGGAACTTACTTCTGGAACAACCAAAAGAGATATACCAGCATAAAGCAAATCAATAGATATACTCTGGAACTTGAACTTCATTACTGGTACATGAGCATCGGCAACTGGTTGAAGTTCAGTGATTTCTTCCATATCAGCAAGGATGTCATGCAAAATGATAAAAAAGTCTTCCTGTGAAAGATGCATATGAGATAAAACTATACAAGGACGCTGTATTATTACGTATATTTTATCACGATCAGTAAAGTAACCAGCTACTGTGTGTCACCTCTCGATTTACATAGGAAGGGCCAACACAAAGGGTGTCTATGTCAGCTCCAGGTCCATGTACCTGTAAAACAGTAGAACATCGCTACATTTCCAAATAGACAAGAATGCTATACAATAAAACAGAACAACATCTTTGGCCCTTATTCTATGTGCGACTCTGTTTCTATAGGAACATATATTTTAAAAAGGGTGGTCCGGAGATCCACTGATATTTGAATGCTGTATTCTTGAAGAACGAAAAGCAAGACAATTCTGATTTAAGAGTAGTAAAGATATGTCTAGTGACTTAAGAGTCACCAGTCTTGCTGAGAACAACTGAAGCATGACAGTAAATTACAACATAATACCCTCACAATAAATATATATATATATATATTCTTACCTAATTTCTAGAGTGTAAAATAAGATTTACTCAAATTTCAAAGTATAAGAGAAGTAGTACCCTGTATTAATTAATTAATAATAGAATGATTGGAGTTGTGCAATTTTGTTTTTTAATAGGGCAGACATTCTTGTAGTGCAGCAAACGTTATTAAATGAAATAGTTTGTCAGCTTTGATTTTTTTTTTTCAATGAATAAATAAATAAAAGGTTGCCAAAATAATGGCTGCCACCATTCTCAGATGGAAGGAAAAAGGATTCTTTTCTATCCATTTTTGTAAGGAATTAGGCCCCATTTCCTTTTCTGCATCCTGTTTATCGTACAAGTGCCAGAATTCATTTCCTTCATATAAGCATGTGAATTGAGGATAATTATTCTGTCTAATCTATGCAAAATTCATGGTACACTTGATATCGTTTTTTATATTTTCTTTTTTTTTTTAACTTTTTAAAGGGTAAGAATATCATATCTCCATCATTCCTTGTCACTACTACCATAATTTTATCCAACAAAACATAGAATTGAAATAACATCCCATTCCTTTCTATATTCCATTTACATTCACATTCTCTTTCCATTTTGACATCAACAACACTGTGCACCATATGGCCCTTCAGTTTTTGTCAACATTATGGGAAAAGCAAGCCTTTTCACGCACAAAAATTGATATATATACAGTATTTATTATACATCTGTTATCATTATTTATAGAAGAAGGATATGTGAAGTGAAAAGAAGAGAAACAAATCTTTACTAGATAATATGAGCAAGGATCTTAACTCAAAAAACTAATTAAGCCAAGAGAATATCCAATTACAAGAATGCAAATGTATTTTCTGACCATCAGATTGACAACTAGCAACTATTTATAGACCTTGCAACAGAAATTAAAATAAACACAATCATATAAAAACATAAATGCTACAACATACAATGTGGGTATGCAAGATGGGCTTCATGCTTCCAATCCTGCATCATAGGTCATGGATGGCATATAAATTCTGTCCACCTCTTACTATCTCTGCTAAGTTCCCCCATATCCCTCAACTACCCAAATAAATAAATGACCAGATGTGCTGTGATAATGGGACTCCTATCAATGACTAAACAACCATCCTTGTCTATTACCTTTTTTCCCCATCCAAGGGCACAAGAAAAAATGCTCATCCACAAAACCGCTTCTTTCATTCAAGTCCCTTTTCTATTCCATTACATTACACATATCAGAAAAGAAGTGGCGACCAAACAGAGTTCCACGCATGTAAGACATTATAATGAATTAAATCAAGACATAATGGCTTTGACCTTTTATGCACAGGAAATTTCAGTAAGAATTTCCCTGGCAGAAAGTAAAAGAACTAGCAAGTGTCCTCATATACAATTTTACGAACCACATGCATTATAACGAATCCAGCAAAAGGAAAAAATTATAGCATGCTCACCCCAAGTCGATAAGAACCAAACGTGAAAATGACAGCATTTGCATCCTCCACCATCTGGTCTGCATAGCCTCGCTGGCGGGTCAGCTGCTTCACCCAGCTTTTTACAATCTGCATCCCATGTCAACCATGTCACTAAAATAAGTTATATTTGATAACAGTGAAACAATGGTTATTCCCCTATGCCATATATAACACCATCGACTAAAACAGAGTATAGTACCACCTAAAACAATTTCCATCCACATACGAAGTAATAGAACATCCTGAAGTAATTTTCTTCAACATATACAATATGCTAGAGAACATCAAAGCCAAGTTTGACATGCAAATACCACGACTGCATGAGTAAACAGGGTCTGCCGCGTGCATAAGCCCAAGGTGCAAGGTGCATTGATTTTGCCTTGGTCTTGCAATGCATGACAAAAACCATTTTACTATTAAAGATTCAATAATTCCTGTATCTGCTGAAACCAACCCATAGCAGGTGGCACATGATGCATTTCGGGAATGCCATCACAATAAAAGGCATTCAGCAGCGTTGGTTCGTCATATGCAAAAGAAAAAAAAATGAAGCAACCATGGCGGCCTGGGGAAAGCAGCTCATGGAATCGCTGATCAAGATAAGAGAACATATCCAGATGATAGGCAGCCAGCAATTTACAATCTTCGACATAGAACCGTCTTGTGACACTGAGAGCACAAAGATATGAATTATTACGTAAACATTTGTGCGTAGCTAAAAATCAACCGCGGAAAAAGATGATGGAACAGGCTATTCTCTTGTTTCAATAATAATATCCTTAAAGCTGAGATGACAATGCATTTGCCGCATTGAAGCAGACATACAATTTAAACTCAAAATTATAGCTGCAAAATTATGAGTTACCCACCATGCTAAATGAAGGTGCTTCAAAAAGAAATCAATCATGCTAAGAGGGTCCTGCCACTAAATCAAGAAGATAACACTAACAGAGAAACGAACAGAATAAAAGACCATAAAAGCATTACCCGATCAAGGCGGCATAAAACTTCCTCTCTCTTTGCAGCTTCTTCTTTGCTCTCATGAAGCCCGGCATCGACCAGAAACTGATAAAAGAAAAAAGTAAATCTTATTGTTTTCCGAGAACAGAAATAATATTTATCGAGTGATGCTCGGAAAATACCTTCTCCAATTGCATGTTACGATGAATATCAGCCTCGGTGGGGCCGGCCAGAGAGATGGGTTTCGTGATCCCATACTTATACGCTTGTTGAGTAGGCGGCATCGATGAAACATTCGAATTCTGGGGACTCACCATTTCAGTACCCACCCAAGGAAGTGGTCGGGGCACTCAAGACCTGGATTTGAAGAAAGCTAATACCTAGTCTTACTCGCATGATTGCAGAAGACGACTGTGAGAGGCTAGAAACTCGCAGATCCTCCACATCTATGAACTGAATACTCGCACTTTCGGATTAGTTTCAAACAGATAGGTCTGCGAAGGGTTGCGACAGAGGAAAGGCGATGAAGAGAAAAAGACGTCGATAAATAGTGGCAAAAATTAAAGCTTTTTGGTGCGATTGAAACAGGTCAAACGCGCGACGATGCAGAGCAAGGAGCGGAAGATCACAATTGAAGTTGCTAGCGGATCAAAGGAAGAGCAGTCGGTGGGGTGAGAAAGGCGGCGAAGAACACACAATAGGAAAGATCCCGAATGGGAAAGACGGGGTGGACTGAGGAAGTTTCGGGTTTCGTGGGTTACGGGAGCTTATGGAGGCCTAATATCTTCCTTGATCATGAGAGAGCCTTGCTCTACTTCTAAAAAATAATTCTTTCTAGCTAACTATTGTATTCTAATTTCTAATGCTATCTATATTCTAACTAGATTTCAAGCACACGGGACAGTTTTTATTTTCTAATCTAAAGACAAAGAATTGAATATTTTTGTTGATACAGAAATTTTCTTCATTTTCAAATGTAGAAATTAAAAACCATGAGTCTAGCCGGGACAATTTTGAAGTTACAGTTTTCACTTCGAAATGTAAAAATATTATACTACTTTATATGGGAGAATGATTGTTTCGTTAATTTATGAAAAAGAATTACCTGGCTCAACATTCTAGAATGCTTCTCCGCAAACAACATTTGTGATTCTTGAGCTTAGCTTCCATTTTGTGCCGTGGATGAGAACCTTTAATCCTTGTATCTTTTTGACTCTAGACACCGCAACATGCGATTGATCATGAGTAAATATGGGTTGTAGTAAGTATAAACCAACATTAGCCAAAGACAAGGCTATCAAATTCATGAGTTTAAGCAAACTCATAATGTTAACATGAGCTTATGTCATAAACTCATAAAAGTCTACCTTTAATAACAAATATTATTAAAATAAATAATAATATATTCAAAATATAATAATTCAAGAATAAATTTTACCTAAATATAATCCAAATTATAATAATTAAAAACAAGTACACACACATATATCAAAATTCATAATTCTCAATATAAAATTAACAATGAAGTTTTTAAGCAAAGTCATTTAACCTAAATACTCATAAAAAAAGTCATTTAACTTAAACAATGATAAAACATGTTAATTTATATTCAACAAAGATCTTCAAATAATCTTCTATGATCTTCTCCATCATCTTCAAATTCTTTATCAACATCATCATCTCCATCTATATCACCAACATTGTGATTATGACTATTAATGTTTAAGTCAACATTTAAATCAACTCTAATATGATCATCAAACTCTATCAACGGCTCGTGCATAGAATTATTAATATTCTCATGATTTCCAATTGATTGCAAAACCTCATCACCCTTCTCCATGTGCTAAATATCTTTATTTATTCTCCCTTTTATTATCCATCTATCGTTTGAATGAATATCATCAAAGTCATAGACATAAGATCTTCTATTATCCTTTCTTTTTAATTTCAAATTGCACATCACAAATGCTAAATCATTCATCTTTTTGTATGCAAGCGATTTCTTTTTTTAATGTGAATATGCAAAAAAAAAAAACAAACAAATAACTTCACCAATATTCTAATATTATAACAACATAAATGATATTTTTAAATTTATAACCTACGTCTCAAAAGCACTCCAATTACTTTCACATCTTGAAGAGCTACAACATAAACTGAGAATGTGAATTGCAATTTTTTTAAGTTCAGGGCAACCATCTCCATAAGAATCCCACCATTCTTCGAAGGCATTTTTGTTCTTAAAGCATGTGCACTATCACGTCCAAACATGGCTCTTGTATAATGGAAGTCATTTAATTAATACTCGATCTTATTTCTCTCTTTTGAAACTTCAACCACTATTGAGAAACAACTATACAATATTTCTTTAACCCAATAATTAAATTTGAAATCAGGGTTATAGTGAAAATGAGGATTGAAATAGTATGGAGCTACATGGAAAGGCCTATGCAATTGAGTTTCTCACCTCTTATCAATTATGTTCAAAAGTTGCTTATAACTACAAAAAAATCATAAAAAGAAAACTTATGATATAAAATTGCATTTATAAAGTTAAGCACGAGAATTAAATATTTCAATTTACTACTTACCTCTTTTTAACATTGTTAAAATTCTCTTTAATCTTCTATCTTACACTTTCCATTGCTTCATATATGAATCATATAGCCAGCTTCTCATTTGAGTCCACGAGCGAAGAACTTTAACAAGAGGAGAAAAAACCTTAAGACATATTACATTGTTCTTCTACAAACCATTATCCAAAGCACTTCTAGCTACTTTTTTTCCTTTTTTGGTGGATGAAAATTTGCTATCATTCCATTTCATATGACTAAACAAATTTATCAACGCTACTTTATTTTTAACAAGACATGTTATTGTCAAATATGTTGTGGCAAATGAAGTTGTAGTTGGTCTAATAAAGTATCAACCATTTGCGAATTTTTTTAAAAGACCAGTGAGCACTGTTCTATTATAAATATATGTTGTAATTCTTCTACTCTTGCTTATGGTTTCTTGATGTAATGTAAGTTTTTTATCAAGGTCCTCTAACATCAAGTTGATACAGTGAGCTACGCATGGTGCCCAATAGGGCTGCATAAATATCGGACTGGACTGAGTTGGATGTCAACCCGAAGTCTAGTCTAAATGGAGACCGGGTTAGAATTTTTAGTCTAAAGACTGGTCTAGTCTTGTTGGACCCGGGACCTGGACCGGGTTGGACTTGGTCCACTGGGTTACTGGACCAGTCCAGTTTCTTGAATCCAACTCTCTCCAAAAAGAAAAATGCCCTCATATCCCCTTTCTTATTCACTTGTATCAATATCATAAGCTTACTACCGTTTGAGTTTCAAAGTAAGCACTATTTAATTACACATGATCCTTGTTATGAGATTAATTATGTTTCTTTCAGTTTTTTAAAGTATAAATAATCATCTTTCTCGCATATTATATGAAGTACAAAAAAGGTGTCATACTATTCAATACCTGTAAATATTACTATTGTTTTTTTTTATTCTTGCAAGTGTCAAAGAGCTAGTTAGAGATTTGTGTTAATTATAAATGTAAGATTTTCATTTTTTTATCTCTTGTATTTTATTTTTGTTTAAATTACCCTGTAATCATATTTTCATGCGATATGGAGAAATGGAGAAATGACAAATGAGGCTATCAGACTTCAGAGTTCAGAGATCGAGTCTGAAGCATGCACGTGAGGTGTGAGGGTACTGTTACTGGGCTCAACTAAGTAACATCTTTTTTTTTGTAAATAATATAATTATTTAATATTTAATATTAAAAAATAACCTGGACTGGGCCAGACTGATTGGTCTGAAAGAGCAGTCTCTAGTCTGGTCTGACCTATATGTGCAGTCTAACCCGTTCAATCCAGTCTTTTGTTCGGGTTGAATTTTTCAGGACCGGGTCGGACCGGGTCATACCGGGTCGGACCAAACAGATCGGGTTTGAGGTTTTTTTGCACAGCCCTAATGCCCAATACAAGTGTTCTCTCTTCGCCATTAATTTTTGTCTAATTGCCTGGTAATTTGTACCATTATTTGTTATTATTAATACTACACTTTTCTCTCACTTTTTCTATAACTTCATCAAGCATGTCAAAAACTCTGTCAGTTGCCATAAAAATATAAGAAGTATTCAATGAATATAAAAAAATACAATTCTTTTGGCACTATTGGCTAATAAATTATAAATTGAATGCTTTTTTTTTCAATCCATCCATCAGACATGATGGAACAACCTGTTGTTGTTCATTCACTCCTAAACTAATCCAACATAGCATTAGTGTTTTTAACTTCTAAATTTAAGTACTTTTCTCTAATCTCATGATTAAAAAGGAGGTTTAAGCTTAAGGCCATATTTTCCTATAATCTCACGCATCTTTATAAGCTATGGATTTTTTGCACAATTAAAAGGAATGGCACTTATGGAAAAAAACAAATCTAGCTATTTGTTGACAAGCTTCTTCCCTCAAGTTTCTCTTAAACATTTGGTTAATAATTGATTGAGTGTTGCCCATATTCTTGCTATTATTTTTTGAACTACTTTTCAATAAATTCATAATCCCCTTTTCCTTTTCTCGAGATTCAACTTGTGCCTGTGTATTGATCTTTTATGCCAACATCAACATATTGTTTTTTTCCCTCTTAGATGCTTTACATTTGGCTTCATGTGTGTGTGTGTGTGTGTTAACATTATTTTCCTAACATCATTTGAAACATTGACACAACCTTTAGCATTTATTTTAGTGCCAACTAAGTGGTGTTTAAATTTATAAATACCTCCACTAATAATTTTGCCACAATAGTTTACTTTACTTTTTTTACCATTCCCATCAATATCCATTTCATGTTTCCATCCTATATCAGATCTATTAGTAGGATAATTTTTCACTTGATGACATATTCAACATATGATATTGATTAAACCAAGTAGTCAACAAGATTTTAAAATAAAAAAAGAATATGTTAAACAAAATAAGGTATATAAAATATACTACTTTATGTAAATATGTTAACATATAATTTATTTTTTATATTAACAATTTGCTATAGAGTCTAATTTTTTGTGAAAATTGGATCACTCGCAAATTTAGTAAAAACCAACAAAAATTTACATTGAATTTAATAGCATAATATGAAGAGGAAAAACAAATATCAAGAATCTAGAAAGCATCTCATTCTTTATCTTTATTGATATAGTTGAGAGTTTGAGACCATTGTGCTCTACGAGTGCATCGGTCATGGCAATTAATATAATAAAAGTGAAGTTCATTCCCACATAGATTTGTCTAAAAATAACAATTAAATAAAAGACTCAGTGAATTCAATCAAGATGAGTCAAAACATAATTAGGTGAAGATGATTTTGCAAACTAAATTAAGACTAAAAAATAAAGAAAAGCAATTGATTCACAAACTTTAAGCATAAATTGGGACCTAAGATTATTTATCCCCCTTGTATCTCATAACAGCAAAATTACCTCCTCCTATAAATACTTTTAATGAAGATAAGTGCTGACCTTGGATTTTAAAAATATTTGAACAAGCACTTTTAAGTCATAAACAAGTGTTTACAAGTATAAGCAACACCTGAATCCTAAAGAAATTGCAATGATTAACTATATTTTAATGGACAGAGAAGTAGGATCACAATATTGTTCATGAAAGTATTTGATTCATAGTTCCCCTACTCGAATTGTCTTTGTAAAGAGACTTTAAGTGCCTTATATTTAAGATGATTTGTTAATTTGTTCCATATTTCTGTTTGACCATGTACCAAACATTTAGTATA